TTCAACCATAGCAAATGTTTCAGATACGGTGGTGGGAAGGGCGAAACCAAATACCTTTGACTTAAATAATGTCTATGATGATTCTCAAGACCATGCGGAGTCTCTACTGGACCCTGTTGCTCCTCAAAATATTGGGAATATATCTTCTGGTGGCCCTTTATGTTTATATACAGACCCTCACACATCTATCGCAACTCAAAATAGTGGAAACTCAGGTTCGACATCCACACAGTCGCCATCTAATTCCAGTGGGGAGGCACAGGTATACACTGTTTATATTTGCATTGTACTGATTCAATTATTACGTTTAAAGTGATAGATAAGTTGAAGAAGTCTGTTGTAAACTGAGTTACATAAGTTTCGAGTCATTCAAATCGATAGAGCTGTTCCCATTTAAACTTTCAACGCACTTTCAGCTTATTAACATTTTCATTATGGTATCTTCCTAGTACTACTTTCAAATATGTACCATCATTATACAAGAAAAGACTGGCTTATATGAATACACTGTACCAGCAGTGCTATCAATATTCCAACCCCTATTTAAGCATGACTAAAAGATTCTCTGCCTCCTAATCGTTATATTATGTTATTACAGAAAAAAGTGATACTTATAAGAAGCAATGCACCATCAAAATTCGACAATCAGAGAGTAGAATGTCTTGAAAAAGAAGAAAGATCGTATATACGAGATAATTACGTGCAAGAGAATTGATGTCTACAAATGTTGAGTTGATGCATGTCAGAATAAATAGCTCTTTTAACGTATACTTTAGATATATATGAAGCTAGATAAACCTTGTCCGTGTTTATTGTGGGTGTTTAGGATGTGATCTTTACCTGGTCTTAAGGAATTTTTGTTGTAACGGAAATTTTCCATATGATTTTACAGAGTCGCACAGATCGAATTGTTTTTAAACTCTTTGGGAAAAATCCAAGTGAAATTCCTCTAGCCCTACGAAAACAGGTATATTGTCGAATCTAATATTTCACATTGTCTCTTTCTAGTGCATTTCACGATTGAGAGTTTGATCTTGTCCAATGTTAATGCAGATTCTTGAGTGGTTATCTCACAGCCCTAGTGACATAGAAAGCTACATTAGACCTGGTTGCATCATATTGACAATATATCTGCGAATGGATAAATCCACGTGGGAGGAGGTAATTTTTACTTCATTGCAGAATTATAGATAACTCATTATTGCCAGTTGTAGTTAAAATTGTGGGCCAAGCTGAGTATAGGGCATGAGTCATTGAGAAATGCAGCCATTTATAGTGAATCGAGGATGTTAATGTATGAACCTGCCGAGTACACGTAGAACGAATCATTGAGAAGGTGTCGAGGTCCACTTTTTTTCAAATGGAGTTCATAAATTGGGGTTAGTTTGGCTTCAGGGGCTAGAAATTCGAACATGGTTTAGTAGATAATTGGGCTTAAATGAACTACATTTGATACTATACCAAGCTGTTCATGCTCTCATTTATAGGAAAACTTCCTTTGATCTTTTTAGTTACTATTCTTGCAGCTATACTGTGATCTAAGTTCCAGTTTGAAGAGGCTTCAGGAGCTAGAAATTCGAACATAGTTTAGTAGATAATTGGGCTTAAATGAACTACATTTGATACTATACCAAGCTGTTCATGCTCTCATTTATAGGAAAACTTCCTTTGATCTTTTAAGTTACTATTCTTGCAGCTATACTGTGATCTAAGTTCCAGTTTGAAGAGGCTTGTTGATTCATCGACTGATTCATTTTGGAGAACAGGATGGATTTATGCTCGAGTGAGGCATCGTGTTGCTTTTGTATATAATGGTATCTTTGCATATTTCTATTCATTGTGTCGCTTCTAATTCTTTATGCTTGAAACTGAATAAGAACTATATCGACGGGAAGACTGATTTTTTTTTTTTTAATTACTCGTGCTTCAGGTCAGGTTGTTCTAGATACACTCTTACCACTTAAAAACCATAGAAGTTGCATGATATATAGTATCAAGCCAATTGCGGTTCCTGTCTCAGAGAATGTTCAATTTTTCGTTAGGGGCTTCAACTTGTCTCTCTCCACTACGAGGTGTTCTTCTCTAACATCCCATTGATATCTTGATTTCAAAGATGTTGAATAATACATGATCTTTGGAATAATCTAGGAGTTTACAACAATTTTGAGTTAATTGTATTATCTTTTCCAGGTTACTATGTGCTCTAGAAGGGAAATATCTAGTCCAGGAAAGTTGTGCTAATGTGACAGTAGAAGCAGATTCACTAGTTGAACATGATGATATGCAGTCTCTTAGCTTTCCCTGCACTGTACCCAGTTTTTCAGGAAGGGGATTTATTGAGGTGATTTTATTTTTCCTACTGTTTGTAGCCTTTGTAGTTTGCTCACAAGTTATGCCTTGGGACTGCAAGTTTTGTTTGATACTCTCTCCAAATTCTGAATTGTGGTTGTCACCCCTTTTCTAGGTTGAGGATCATGGTCTTAGTAGTACCTTCTTTCCATTCATTGTTGCAGAGAAGGACGTCTGTTCTGAAATTTGTACGCTGGAGAGAATCATTGAGGCCTCTGAAGTTGCTGGTGGCATCGGGGGAGATACTGATAAACTAGATGCCAGAAACCAAGCTTTGGACTTTATACATGAAATGGGTTGGCTTCTCCATAAAATTCACTTAAAGTTTAGGTTGGGTGAAACCAATGCCAATGTGGATCTATTTCCTTTCAGACGGTTCAGGTTTCTCGTCGAGTTCTCTGTTGATCATGATTGGTGTGCCGTAGTTAGAAAACTTTTGGGTATTCTGTATGGTGGTAGTGTGGATGCCGGGCAGCATACATCTGTTGTACATGCATTGATGGATATTGGCCTTCTTCATCGAGCTGTACAGAGAAATTGCAGGTCTATGGTAGAACTCCTATTAAGAAACCATCAAGATGAATTCCTGAACAAATCAGGATTCGAACATAAGCAACATGATGAGACCTCCTATATATTTAAGCCTGATGCAGTGGGTCCTGAGGGATTGACTCCTCTTCACATAGCAGCTAGTTTAGATGGCTGCGAGAATGTCTTAGATGCATTAACTGAAGATCCTGGATTGGTACTTTCTTTGCCTTGTTATGAATTTATATTTATATTTATGCCTAAGCACAATTTTTCTCGACTCAAAGGTTAAGTTCGAAAGGTGCTGACTAAAAACTGAGAAGAATGAATAGTTGCACCCAAACTAACTTTTTGGTCTCAGTTCTTGCATTCTCTGCTTGTGCCTCTCTGAGTTCAATGATCCAAGATCCATCTACTTGAATCATACCTCTGAAACTACTCTATTCATACACTAGCAGTGCAAGTATATAAACTTGAATTATCTGTATTTGTCTGCAATATAGAAGTGGCATACAGAACCCCTTGTGTGTATGTAGTAGCTCACAACGGCACACGCCTGTGTGTGTGTGTGTGTGCATTGGCTGTGCATTTTGCTAGTGCTGAAACAGCTTCCTTTAGTACTATAGCAGTAAAGATGTCAACATACATTAGCCTTATTGATGAAAATTTTTTGATTCCTTCATAGTTAGTACAATCCTTGCTCTCTCCGTCTGAGTAATCAGATCAATATTTTGCATCTTTCAGCTGTCGTGGAAATAGTATACAATTATAACTTCTCAGGGTCATTATTGCTTCTTTGTTCAGGTGGGAATTGAAGCATGGAAGGGCGCTCGAGACAGTACAGGATTAACACCCTATGATTATGCATGTTTCCGTGGTCATTTCTCATACATTAATCTCGTTCAAAGGAAAATCAACAAGATAGCAGAAAATCGACACGTTGTTGACATTCCAGGTACTCTTTTAGATGGTATCATCAAGCACAAAGTGCCAAATTATGCAGAAAAATCAGCAAAATCATCTGCTACCTTCGAAAGTGAGAAGGGTGTAGGAAGAGCAAATGAGAGACATTGTCGGCAGTGTGAGCAGAAACTACGTTATGGAAGGTCGTCCAGATCATCACTGGCAATTTACCGACCGGCTATGCTTTTTATGGTTGCGATTGCTGCAGTTTGTGTATGTGCAGCTTTGCTATTCAAAAGCTCACCCGAAGTTCTTTACGTGTTCCAACCCTTCAGGTGGGAACAATTGAAGTATGGATCAAGCTAAACTAGTTTATTTATACAGGGTTGGTTCTTGATTTCAGTAAGTTCTGTAGAAATCAATAAGTACTAATAAGTAACAATGATTGAATATAGAGTGATCCAAGTGTGATGAGTTGGCTAATATATTATTTGTCTGTGCTTGCTAAAATTCTTGCTCTAAATGAGAATTGCTATTATTATTTTTGCCACCCCACACATTACAGATCACTGAACTTCCAGTGAAATCTCAGTTGGATTACTATACTATAGCTCGTCTCAATTGGGTCGATAAATTTTAATCTAGTTTCAAATCTAATCGATCTATCATGCTTCGTCTCCTATTACCATAAAAAAACCTGCTTAGTTGGCAATCAAATTGCTTAGTTTCAATTACTTATTAGGCTAAATTTGAAGGTGGTGGGTAGGTTATCGACATGGTAAGGCTTCGTTCTTACCATTTGAGTATGCCAATATTGAAAGCTTGATGCGGAATTGTAACACGTTCTCTTCAATCAATTCGCTCGTTATTATTGATCCAAATTCCCCTTTTTTTCTTGAGGGGTACGAGCAAGCCGAGAGAGAGAGAGAGAGAGAGATGAACAGATGGAAATGGTGCTCTCCAGCATGCAAACCTAGCGTGTGGACTAGCTTGTTTGGTAACAAGGGTCAAATTGATATGATGGAAAGATGGTTATGAAAAATTCGGAGGTTTCAGAATTGAGCCAGAAACGCGCACTTTTACAATTCTGATTGATGCGTATGGGAAGAAAAGGATGTACGATGAGATATCTTCAGTAATGGAATACATGAGTAGGCTTCCGTTCCCCTGGACGACATCAACGTACAACAATGTAATTGAGGCATTTTCAGATGCAGGCAATGCCAAGCACATGGAGTATACATTTGATCAGATGCGTGCTGAGTGCTGCCAGGAAGGCAGACACCAAGACCTTCTGCTGCCTCGTCAGAGGGTATGCCAATCCCGTCCTTTTTCACAAGGTGATCAGCGGTGTTAAATTGGCTGGAAAATTGGAGATACCTGAAAATACCTCATTCGTTAATGCTGTCATATATGCATGTGCCAAAGGCGGAGGATTTAATGGAGATGAAAAGAGTTTTCAAGCGAATGAAGATAAAAGTTGCCAACGAGATTCTACAACTTCCTTTGTTATGATTGATGCATATAGAAAAGAAGGTATGAATAATAAGGTCTATGATCTGGAGCAAGAAAATCAGATGATGACTGCTGATGTTTCTACCATAATGACTAAACAGATGCTTCACTGAATGTCCAATAAACAACTGATGGTATCGTTACTCTTGGTTCAGTTTTCTCATAGGAGCATTTCAGTCGCGACAATGAAAAATTTTCTGAGGTGGACAAGTCATAGAGTTAATATCAGAGAGGCACCCTCAAGGCATTAACAAAAAAAAAACATTTACTGTTCAAAGGAAGTGATGTTGTGTGTATATCTTTTGAGTTGGCGATTTTGATGCAACATAGCCAGCTTTACCCCTAAAATTGATATGAATCTCCATGCATCTCAAGGATTCCAACTTGGGAGGGAGAGAATGGCAAGAAGATATAGCAAATGTTGGAACACTTCATGATTACTGATGAAATTGGCAGATTGTATACTCTAGTGAATTTATTTTTGTCAATCTCTACTTCGTTTCCATTTGCAGCTATCATGTGGGGATCTCTACATAGGGACTTCTGAGTAACTATTGCTTCCTCAGGCAGGTTTGCATTTGACTAGAGATCTCTAAACTTGGGAAGGTGACTTATTTTATTTGTCTTTGCTATATACTATTTTTAATTCTGTGTTCTGGAGGCCGGAGATTTCCAGAATTCTGTCTTTTTAGTTAGTTCATTGTCCATTTTAATGCACACAAGTACTTAATATGCATATTTTCCACTCTACGTGTGCAAGGTTTGCAATTATACTGTTGCAAACTAATGTAAATAAAAAGGTATTCTGGATAAAAACATTCTCTGGTGGCGCCTGAAAATCCACTAAGGTCGTGTTGGTGTTTTGACTGAAAAAAAGGCTCCCAGGCACCAGTTATTAGGTCTGGGCTCATTCTATATTGCTGTTAGATTTATATTAAGCACTAAACCTATATGGGCAGGATGAAGGAGACATCCAATAGCACCAAAGCCATCANCAGTTATTAGGTCTGGGCTCATTCTATATTGCTGTTAGATTTATATTAAGCACTAAACCTATATGGGCAGGATGAAGGAGACATCCAATAGCACCAAAGCCATCAGGTATTTCCTGGATATAAAAAGCACATCTAGTATTGATTTATCCCCCTCCAACCAGTATGCGAATTCGTGCATATGAACTGCTCGGTTGTGCATAATATATATCTACAGGAAAAGAACTCTAC